GCGCGGACCGGCCCCAGGCGGTCGGGCAGCGGCCTTTGTTCTGCGGCCGCGGCGAATCTGCGGGCGGGTCAGGGAGCGCCCGGCGCGGGCCAGACGCCGCTGGGAGGCGGGGGTGGGGGCTGGGCTGTCCCTTTGATCCGCGTGGCGCGCTGTTAGGGCAGGGCGCAGCCTGAAGCGGGTGGCGACCCGGGGTTTCGGGGAGCAGGGTTTCCTCTGGTGACCGCGGAAAGCGTGCCTAGAAATTCAGGCTCCTGAGCCTTTTCCCAGGAAGGCCGATCTCGAGGCTGCTTGTTTATGAAGTGCGGCCATCCCCGTCTGTGGGCATGTTCCGAGGGCGCCAGCCCCCGTAGGTCATGTCCCCTCCTTTCGCAGAGACGCGGAACGGGAGATTTTTGTGAGCCCCGCATGCACTGGCTTCCGTTGCCGTTATTGGTGGTCTGAGGCTTTTCAGAATTACCCCCCAAATTGTAAGGAAAAACTGCTCTCGGCCTGGGAAAGGCGGCCGGAACCGCCTCCATGGAATAAACAATTAGCGGGAGAGCCGCGACCTAGTCCCGACCGCGGGCCGCCGGCTGTTTGCCGCCGCCGCCTCTTTCTTTTTCCCAGACTGCTGGTAGATGCTTTTCTTTTTGAGCCAGCTTGGATGGCTTCCTCTCCTCTGCTTCAGGTCCCCGGTGAAACACGGCGCAGGATACCTGTCTGCCACTCGTAGAGAGCCAGCGGGTGCTGGGGATATGCTGCCGTTGGGGGGCCCAGAAATTGGCTCGGGGGGGAGCGCAGGAAAGACAGGACCGACGCCCCATCCTCCAGCTCTTGGGGCCCCCACGAGCTTTAGCTAGCCCCGTTTTGAGAGAGTGAGTGAGGAAAAGGATGGTAACCCACCCAGGACAAGCTGAGGCTTTGGTTTCCGAAAAGTGCAGGGGAACTGTGGACCCCCCAAACGTGGGCCGTAATTGGCTGGATCTAGTAACTTAAGCATTGACACAGTGGCAACTGCCAGCAGCATTTCCTAGGGACGCGTGCGTTTCCTTTCTCTGCTACGTACTACTGTGACATCACTCTCTCGCTGGCTCTTTAGAAAGACTAAGTCCTTGTAGTTCTGTCCTCCTGGGCCAGCCGGGAGCCCTCAGGCTGGTACTGCCTGCCTCATTTAACTCCAGGCATGCTCGGTGCTGCTTCCTTATAGGTTCAAAGGCCGAGGGAGGTTTCTGCCTCTGCTCCGTTGTTAATTTAACGAACGCCTCTGCAGCACCGGCTGGGTTCTGGCCCCGTTCAGCCGGGAGTGAGACCCTGGCTCTCGCCTCCTGGGTGACAGTTGAAGCATCAGTCATCACTCTGTTATGCTGTAATTACTGGTGGGTGACATGCTGAGAAGTGCAGAGATCTGATTGAAGCTGGAGCAGGTCAGGAAGGGTGTCTGAGGAGGTGGGGGGAGCAGCCCGGGCAGCAGCCTGGAGAGGCAGAGAGCTGGCTGCAGCTCAGGAGCTGAACAAGGCCGCCATGGCTGGAGCGCCCTGAGGCTGTCATCACGCCACTTCTAGTACCTACCTTGCCAGGAGTCTCTCAGGCCCCACCCTGTCCCCTGGTGCGAACTTGGGGTTCTGGAGGTGGGGGAAAGCTCCAGACCAGGGCTGGACAGGCGCGAGTTCCAGTTTCCCACAGCTTCACGGAGTCGAGGGCCTGAGAGGGGAGAGGAGTGGGGCCAGGGGTCTGCTGCCACTCCTAGGTTTCTGCCCTGAATGACCCACCAGGTGTCACCCTCCTCGTGGTGGCAGGTCTGGGGGATGTGTGGTATGAGACTGGAGTTTCCTAGAAGTTGAGTTCTTGGCCTTCCTACCCCATGAATCCCCCTGCTGCGACAGGGCAGGAGTGCAGGAGACTGTCCTGTTCTCAGTGCGAGGGGAGGCCGCTGAGTCCCCAGGCCTGGCCACCGCCCTGCCTCGGGGCTCAGAAGCCTCTGTTCCCTGGTCCAGAAAGTGAAATGGTAGGGAGCAGGTGTGTTCTTTGTGGGATCTCCGTGCAGGATAGGTGGAGTGACCCCACAGGCAGTGCCAGGGGCTCGCTCCCCTACCCTACTGCCTTGATGACCTGGCCAAACCCTGTTCCCCGGGTCAGTGAAGACTGAGGTGGGGGGGGGAGGGGCATCTACTCGCCGTCCAGTGTGTTCTTTGTGAAAACAGTCTCACTGCTTGATGTTTTCTATCTGTGAGGAAACTGAGGACTTGGGGGAGGTGAATATCCTGGCCTAAGGAGCGATGCTTTGGGGCATGCAAAATAGAGGACTTTTCCAGAAGGTCTCATTTTAGAAGTAGAAAGACCCTTAGGAAAAGCACTCGAAGGGGCTTAGCGTGTCAGTCCGCTTCTCGGGGCAGCAGGCCGGGGTCAGTGTGACAGTTGTGCCTTCCTGTTTGGGCTTCACTGGGCAATGCAGGTCACAAGCCCCCCCTCTGGGCGTGGTGTGGGTGCCGCTCACAGGTCCAGCCCTCTCATGGCAGCCCTGTCCACAGATGAGCCGTGCACATGGCGGAACAGTGGGGGCCAAGGCTGAGTTTCTGTCCTGCATCATTCCCTTGGGCCCTGGGTGTCAGCTCCTGTCCCCGTGGCCAGCCAGACCCCATGCTCCAGAGAAGGGCCACCGTGTGAATGTCAGGGACGGCTTCCTGTGTCAGTACAGATCTGCAAAGCCTTTTTTGAAAATTGAGATGTAATTAACGTGCCACGCGATTCGCCCTTTAAAAGTGCACAATTCTGCTGTTTTTAGTACATTCACAACATTGTGCACCCGCCACCACTCTCTAGTTCCAGAACGTTCTCATCACCCCAAAACAGGGCCCTGTGCCTGTTAGCGTCTCTCCCCGTTCCCTTCCTGAGCCCCTGGCACCTGTGCTTCTATTGAGACAGGATGCACGTAGCACCCACGTCACCCACTTACAGCGTGCAGTGAGTGGTCTGAACAGATGCACGGCTACCAACACAGTCAACTTTAGGACATCTTCATCACCCCGAAAAGAGCCACAACCCTTTGCCTATCACTGCCCCCACGCCCGCCCTAAGCCCCTGTTGATCCGCCTCTGTGTCTGTGTCCCCGTTCCCGTTTGTTTGCAAAGGCAGGATAGTAAGCAGAGTGGGGGGCTCCCTCTCCACTCCCTTTGGCCGTATCTGAGGCCCGAGTGGGCCAGGGTCTCTGCTGCCCTGGGCACGGGGCTGGTGTCACATTGGCCAGTGGGGAGCACACCAGGAGTGGGGCCTCTAGAAGCGCCTCAGAACTCGAGGCAGGTGGGGCTCCGTACCGGGCACCCTGTCTCAGTGGATGTGCTAGGTGCGGGAAAGACCACAGGGTCCAGCGATGACCTTGCCCGGTAAGAGGCCCTGGCGGGGCTGCCTGTGCCCAGTGTGCCACTGGCCACGTGTCCCTGCAGAAGCGGATCTTGTGGCTGTAGCAGGTCCCACACTGTGGCCTGGGACGTAGGAGAGGGCAGGGGAGGGGGCAGCGTGCGCTTGCTCAGATGAGGGGCTCTTCCTAAAGGTTTCAGAAAGAACCCCGAGCCCGCCAGCCACCCCCTCCATGTCCCTGCCCAGCCCCTCACACCCACTCGCCCACTTCCTGTCTGCGGACGTGCCTGTTCTGGACACGTCACGTAAATGGAGTGACATGCTGCGTGACCTCATGCATCTGGCGTCTTACTGAGTGTCGTGTGTTCACAGTCCGTCCACGTCATGGCGAGTGTCAGCGCCGCCTCCCACTTTTTATGGCCGAGTGACGCTGTCCCGTGTGGACAGGCCACGTTCGTCCGTTGGTGGGCACTTGGGTTGTGTCCCCCTCTGGGCTGTCGTGACCGGTGCTGTTGGGAACGTGCGGGTGTGCGGGTTCACGCTGACAAGCTTTCGTGTGTCGGAACTCCTCGAGGGTGGGGTCGCTGCTCCATGCCCTGGAGAAGCGTCATGAGCTCACGTGGCGGGCTGGTGCTGCGGGCGGGCCCTGTGCTGTGCAGTGGCCCTGTGGTGTCGCTGTGCCCTAGGGAGGTGAGCAGGATGCAGAGCTTCATAGCTAGGTCCCGATGGTGCCTGCTTCCCAGTTTTGTCACACTAGGGTGGCCGTTTGGGGTCCTGGCCTGAATCTTAATGAGGTTTTACTGCCAAGCCCCCCAGGAGACCCTGGTCCCTGACGCTGCAGCCGCAAGGAGGCTGCCGTTAGGTCTCGTCCCTCAAACACCTGCTATCTTTGGGCGTTTTCTCAAGAACAGGGTCTACGTTTGTTTCTGGAATGTCCTAGAAACGTCAGCCAGGCCCCCAGGCCTGGGCCCCCTCTCTAGGTCCGGGCGCGTTCATCCCCACTCTCTGGCTCCTATGTGTGTGGGGGGGGCGGGGGACAGCACGTGGGGCGGCCACTGAGCCCTCTCTGCCCGCAGCCCGAGCGGGAAGAAGGTCCGGAGCAAGCCCCAGCTGGCGCGCTACCTGGGCGGCTCCATGGACCTGAGCGCCTTCGACTTCCGCACGGGCAAGATGCTGCTGAGCAAGGCGCACAAGAGCCGGCAGCGCGTGCGCTACGACTCCTCCAACCAGGTCAAGGTGAGCCACCGGTGGGCATGCGGGGGTCGGGGCAGCCCTGCCGAGTCTGGGAGGAGGGCAGCGCAGTCGTGGTTGCTGGTCCTGCTGTTGAAGTCGTGTTGAGCCACCGGCGGGCATGCGGGGGTCGGGGCAGCCCCGCCGAGGCTGGGAGGAGGGCAGCGCAGTCGCGGTTGCTGGTCCTGCTGTTGAAGTCGTGCGGTTCGCTGGGGGACGTTTGGAAGGCACAGAGACGCAGAAAGATGAGGCACCATCCGTCACTTGGTCCTTGGGGTGGCCCCGGCACGGTCCCCGGCTGTTTCTGGTGTGCCCGTCACACCATCCCGCTCAGCACGTTGCTTTCAACGGCTGAGGGT